CTTAGGCTTAGGCTTATCTAGTAGGCGTGGCTACGCGCACGCGCGCGTGATCTTGCGTACGGGTGGAGAGACTAAACAGCACAAGTACCCAAATTTCAAACAACTTAAAACATTTTCACCCTCAAACCACTTTCCATCAACAATACAAATCTTTAACATATACACATAACGAATACCAGTGAAAATGTACTCTAAAACATCCAAATTTCTTTTCAACAACTCCAAATGAACATTTTTTGTTTTTTTTTATCCAAACTGAATCTAAAGTTCCACTTATACTCTTTACTTCCAAATCTCTAAACTATACTCTAAATAAATACACTCTAAACTCCAAAATCTGTACTCTAAACATTTACACTCTAAAACTTCCAAATCCAAATGAATTATTTTGAAGTTCCAAACCGAAATATTTCAAAATTAAATGAAATTTCCAGGATTTTCAATTTCTGAATATTATAAAATAATCGCCGTAAACTCACCGAAGACAGTGTTGTGTGGGTTCATGGCCACTTGATTTTTGGCCGCATCTCCAATGAGACGTTCAGTATCGGTAAAGGCCACATAGGATGGGGTGGTGCGATTGCCTTGGTCATTCGCAATCACCTCCACCTTACCATGCATAAACACACCAACACACGAATAAGTCGTACCCAAATCAATACCCACCGCGTTTTGTTTCACCATTTTGATTCACTTCAATCAACAAATTGCACTGCGCTGAATCACTGACAATAATAACCCAAAAACAAGCACGCTACCACACGAATCGCAGAGTGAAACACAAATGACTGGCGCTTACGTCAGCCGGCTATTTATACCCGCCAGCCGTGGAATGTTCTAGAAGGTGGCGCGCGACGCGTCCGCCAGCCAGCGTACAGTGTGCACCCACGTGAAATAGTGCCTAGGACGCGTGAACCGCGCGAATTTAAATTTTCGTTAGTTCCCGAAACATCTTTATATTGCCAACGATTTTTAAAGTACCTAGTAATACTTATTAAGATTTTCCTAAATTGGAGTACCAATTTTTTCAACTCTAAAATTCAAAATTCCGGAAAAAAATTCAATTTCAGGCTAGATACTATTGCTAAGAAATGATCAATATCGATAAATCATTCTGAAACAATCACCCCACAGTGATTTTACGTCCAATAACAGGACTAATTCAACGGAATTGAGGCAAAAGCGAATAAATTTGAGCAGTAAGCTGTTCAGTTCAAGGCACAGCCTTACGGCAGCTAAGGAAAGAATATGCAGCAAATCGAAACATTCCTATTCGATACGGGCATTCACTGCACTGCTTTATATACGACACCCGCAGAACATTCTCGATTCAAATCCGGCTTTCGATTGCGAAATACACCACAAAATAATGAGAACCAGAGAAGAAACGCAAGAACGAGACGCTAAATCAGTTGAAATTGAAAAAATTAAACACCAGCCAAGAGCAATAATATATATTTCAGTGCTGATCAAGCGCTATTCCAAAGAAAACACTCATATTAAACATGAGTCAGCGATCGTGGCGCTTCAATACGATTTCTTAGAATGTTCCAGATTCCACTCCGGCAATTTTATCGATGACGAAATATATGAGAAAATATATTTTTCACCTCGTCTACTTCATTTCATTACGCTTCTCACATTTTTTTATTAAAATTATATCGTGTAAACCCAAGCAATCCTACTACCATACACTATTATATATTCCTTCCAGATTATTATTTGTTGTTTTGCACCGTTATATTTCCATATTTTT